ACGGACAGACGGACAGACGGACAGACGGACGGACGGACAGACGGACAGACGGACAGACGGACAGACAGACAGACGGACAGGGCCAAATCGACTCAGCTCGTCGCCCTGATCAAGAATATATATACTTTGTGGGGTCTGCCACGCCTCCTTCTGCCTGTTACATACATTTCAACAAAACCATTATACCCTGATTTCCCATTTTCAATGGGTTCAGGGTATAAAAAAACGCGAGGATCTAAAGGGAGGAGCGGGCAAAACAACACGACAGGCAGCAATAACAAATGTGGCATCAAGATGCAAAAAAAAAAAAGAAGGCATGTAAAAACGAAATACGTTGCAGCAACAATGCAAGTTAAACAAAAGTTTTATATATGCAACTTTCACCGGAAACGGAAACGCATGTTGCGCCATTGCAATGGCGGTTCGGGGCCATTGTATGGCGGCAACAGCAACTGGAAAAAAATAAAACAAAATCCCGAATAAAATCATGAACCGTAAAAAAAAAAAAAGAAAATGAATATCGAGGCTGAGAATACAAATGTTGTATTGTACAGACAAGTGGCCTAAATGCAATTCAATAGCTTAACTTTTGGCCATTGTTATGGGCCGGAGCTGGATGCCCTAGAGGCGTAGCTGGGCGAGCAGGAGCAATAGCAGCTGCAGGAGGAGGAGGGGGAGTAGCAGTAGGTCGACACGAGTGGGGAGTTCAACGACTGGACAAACAATTGCAGCTGAAAAGCATAATTAAAGTGTCAAAGAAAGATGCGCAAGGCAATCGCCGTTAGCCAAAGCCAATTAAACGCACAACAAAGCCAAATAGTTGGGGCAACAAACGAGGCGCGGCGAGGCGTGGCGAGGCGAGGCGTGGCGAGGCCAATCATAAAGTCACTTGCTGCACGGAAATTGCAAGTTGCGGTCGGCAATGGCACGTGGCTAAGCGCTGACGCCCATAAGCATGCTACGTACGGCTCCTGCACAGCTTTCACAGCTCTTGCTCTGCTTCACTCTCACACAAAATTCGCCAAGCCGAACGGAAATTGCAAACTGCGGCTGAGACGCCGCTGGAACTGCAAGCAGCAAACTTTTCTCTTTTATATATATTTACTTCAAAGAAAATTGCGCTATTATAATTATTGAGATATATCAAGAGGGAGTGGGAGTAGAGAACCCTTAAAGCTCTCCATATAGAAGATTCGACTCCTTAAAAGATTCCTTCCATAATATTTGATTAATTCTTAAACTCTGAACCCATTTTCACCACTAGTCCCTCCATTCCACTCTGCACCTCTCCCTTCACCACCTTAATATCCTAACCCCCTCTCAACATCCTTCTCTCTCTTGCCACAATTACTGCCTACTCAAGGTCACCACCCACTCAAGGTCATTGCCCTGTATGTATGTACTTATGTATGTGTGCATAAAAGAAGTGAAGAATGATTCGAATATCAGCTTGGAGGCTTAGGGTATCTCCGAGTCGAGCAGTCTCGTCTAGAGCCTTTCTACTTTTTGTTAATACCTTATAATTATATTATCCATATTATTCTTAAT